TCTAAAATTTGCATTTTTGACCATATTTGGGTGTAAGTAAGTAGCACTGGAGAGAGTGGTAGGTGAATGGAGAGGGGGAAAAAAGAGAAAGAGAGGGGTAGAAAAAGATAAAAAAAAAGACAGAAATTGAAATCCTCTTTTATTAACGCAGTAAGTACTCATTACCGATGTATATATGCAATACTCTGGGGAATTCACCATTGTCTTAGAAGACAATAAGGCGGATGCATAATTAAAGAGACAGAATGCATTATTAATGAATGGGGTTATACGGAAATTTTTCCGATCGAGGCATAGGGTTACATTCTCAAAACTTTTATCAGAACCAGCGTGTTCTTCGCAGGTCGATTTACAATGGGCCAGTCTTCACCTCCCATGAGGAATGCAACGAATTTGAGGACCTTTGTTTTGAAGACTATCATTACGCATTTCAAGAGACTCTTTGTCCTGTGACACTCGCTTATATTAGATCGTTGTATTTTATTCAAGTTTATACTTTTATACCTCTGATAAATTCTGCTCCATTCGTGTGCTTTTCACACATTTTACTTTATACCAATTTTTTCTTATGTACATTACCACGCAAAATACTTTTCTTGTCCCTGATGACGCTGTTGCCCAGAATTTAATCATTTGAACTATATTTTTCTTTCTAACGTTTATAGTTTTGATACAATGGAATTTTCCATGAAACATGAGTGCTAACTCTCTCATATTTACCAACAAAGCTTCAAGTCATGTTGTTATTGTCTTTAAAAAAGTGAAAGCCTAGAATCAATCAATCAATCATTTATTTTGACACGTTACGTCGAGGAGCTAGAAAACTCGTTCAAAATACGAACGTTATAAATAAAATCTATAATAATTACAGCTATGTTATGATATTATTCAATTTTAAAAACAACTCAATAAATATATTGAACTTAGTAATAAAAACATAAAATATAAAAAGCTAAAACCTACTAAAAAGCCATATACTAAACACGTGACTGGAAAACTATAATACACGGCGTTCTAAAAACAGTAAAAAGCTACAATCGTGCACTATAAGACACGTTCTAAAAAAACTGCAATCGTGCAATTTACTTCTGAAGTCATTAGCATCACTTGAAAGACGCACTTGAGAAGGCAAACTGTTCCCTAAGTTAGTTAATGAATAAGTGAAAGAATTCTTCTTAAATTTAAGATTAAAGTTAGGTAATTCCAAATTCAAGCCCTCGCCTCTTAGCCCATACGGTGTATGCCTATATTTAAAAAGGCTTCCAATGTAAGTAGGACTCGTACCATTTAAGCATCTAAAAAGAAGTATTAACGCCTGGTGTAAGCGCCTAATATATAAGGATGTTATGCTAGCGGTAGTGAGCAGCTCGTCTTATGACATTGACTTGTTGAGCCCTATTAATGTTCTCAAAATATAACAGTTGCCATCTTCGAGACGGTTGCGTTGACCTGTACCTATGCCTACAAATAAAGGACTGCAGTATTCTAAGTGAGGTAACATAAATGGTTTATAAAGTTTTATCATTGCATCAAGAGGAAGAAAACGCTTTATTCTTTTCAGCGCAGAGACCTTCGCGTAGGCTTTCTTTAGTTGATCTGATGTGTTCTTTATAGGATAGGTCCTTGTCTAGAGTAACTCCAAGAATCTTAACAGATTGCAGAAATTCTATTCTAACATTATTAAGAAATAAAGAATGATGATAGTCACTGGGTCCGACAGATAATGCTCGAGTCTTAATACTGTTCACTGTTAAATGGCTAGACTCAACCACGACGAAAGAGTCTGTAGATCTTTGTTGACATTAGGAACACAGAAATTCAAGTCATTAATGAAAATGTTGAACAGCAACGGCCTGAACGGCCCCAATAGTGAGCCTTGAGGAACGCCAGATTTAACTACATACATACATATATACATACCTTTATTTAAACACGATATGGTTTAAAGCTCAAAGCTTGTGGGGTCGTGTAAAAATGATTACAAATGGATAAAACTGTATAAAAATAAGAATAACATCACTTACAAAATACAACTACAACTAAAACTCTAAAAATATACAGTAAGATTCTAACCAAAAAGTAAAGAAAGAAATAAATAAAAATAAATTTAAAAAAAAATACAAGGTTAAAATGAATTTACATTAGTTATCTCTAAGTAACTGTTTTGAAGTTAGAGCATACGCCTTCTATTCTGACACATTAGGGCCATTTATACGTGGAAAAATAAGACGCGTCTTAAATAAGACGCGAACTTTACGTATAAACGGCACATTTCGTCTAAAATAAGACGCGGCTTAGCTAAGACGCGTCTTATTAGATAAGACATGCTCGTATAAATGGTACAGTTCGCATCTTATTTAAGACGCGTCTTATGTAAGACGCGTCTTATTTTTCCTCGTATAAATGGCCCTATTGCTGACGACCTAGCAGGTAGGTGGACATCAGTTCCAAGGCATGTGGAGAGAAGCCGTAGGAAGCGGCGAAGCGGCGAGTTAAATATCCACTACTAGCCACCGACACTGAGGTGAATAATTGTTTTAGTATATACTAAAACGGTGAGATAATTGAGCACAAAATAATGATTTTTAACTCATTTACTGTTGCCAACGATTACAATTTTGGCGCGCGATGACCGAACGGCCGCGGTCGTCGCTTTTTCTTAGCGACAAATCAAGCTTTTGAAGGCGTTTGTTTAGCTCTTGCAGGGAAGTTTCTTCAAAAGGAGTTGTGAATTCTGTTTGTATTTAAAATAATTCTGTAAAAAAGATTATTAAATTTAGTTTTAAGCTTATTTATGAACAAGTCAACTAAATAAAGTAACGCAAGACTTAAGCTTAATTTGCATTTGTAAACAAAAAACTTTTTCACCGGTTTTATCGATAACTATTCAAGTCAAAAAGACAAAGCTTTACCTGTTAAAACTTCCAAACCGAACTTCGTCACCTTCTTCATGTATTTCGGAAATAGCTTGCTTGACTAGTTGTGAAATTTCTTAGTTTGTTACGGCAGCAAACCGGGAAAGCAGTTTGCTCGCAACCTACGCGAGTTTGGCGTCGCTCGCTCGGAGGAACTGGAGGTGAATCAGCGAACAGTGCAGGATATTCACTGATTGAGTAGCGCCCGCAAAACACTATCCACTGTTTTAGTATATACTAAAAAGGTCTATTTAAGAAGTAAAAATGGGTAAGCGATAGCTATTAAGACCCCTATTAACTATTTGCTTTAAGTACAAATTAGGTTAAGTCGTATAACCATCAATATGACACCAGCCTCACAGATCCAGACGCACCACTGGTCATGGTCACGTACTGATCTTCCCGACCTGGTCATGCATGTCCTGCCATAAACTACTTCAAAGTCACTTTTTTCGTTACTAGCTTTTATGTTATTCAATCCATTTTCTATCCTTGCAATCCATTGCAACAGACGAGGGGAAACAATATCAATGGCAAAATAGTCTTAGATAACAAAACTGCACCATTATTTTTGGAATTCAATTGATGTAAAAAAAAATGTTTAGCTTTTAAAAAAGATAGCAAATAACATGAAATAGTCCCGTGACGCTGGTGGCAAAGATCCCGCTTTATCTCGAGTTGATTCGCTTCTTATAGTTCGTTGACAAACAAGTCGAAAGTTCTCTATCCAGTCCCTCATCGCTACTTCATCTGCTTTTGTCACTCTTTGCGCCGATCGGAGAGACATAGTTTAGAGAGCTGACAAAGGTACGGAAGTATTTGACACGGGACAATTCGACTTTTCGTGAGTGTAGCCCACTTCGAATTCGTCGTTCTTTTGAGCGATTCCTTCACTGTAGTTCTAAAGTCTTAGGCGTAGTTCAAAGGACTAAATGTTTTGTGTTGAAGTGAGAAACCTCGCGTAGATTTTCCACCTGCGTTGTCAGAAGTTTTTTGTCTGTGTATTTGTTGAGGTTATACATATGAGTCTCGGTCAGATTTCTCAGCCCCACCTCTTCAAAATGTTATCCACGGTCCCTGAGGTTGGAGTTTGGTTGTATTAGGGAGCTTAAGGGTGGTTTTCAATAGCTACGGAGTCGGAGTTGTGAGAGCGCTTATGACCTTGTGAAAATCAATAATCGGAGCAGTAAGCGGAGTCATAAACTCGACGGAATCTGAGTCGGAAGAATCAGAACAAAACAGACAAACAAACAAACAAACAAAACGCATACATTAGAAAGCACTGAGTAGTTTTAATTTGCTTTGCGACTACACAGGATAAAAATTCATTCTTTGGTATCACAAAAAACTCCTTTAAAAAGTTGACGCTTTTAATTGAGGCACTTCATTGTACTCTTCGTTTTCAATAATTTTCTTCAGCCATTTTAAGCCGTAAATGAACTCTGAATCTAAAAATCACGTGAAATCAATTAAAATTGGCAAAGATAAAAATAAATTTTCATTAGTCAACATAAATCATGGTAGGGACCTATACGTAGCTTTCGGCATTATATAAACAAGGCATATCTGTTCGCCTCTGATGTCAGGGCTGATCTAAAAAGAGAAAAGAGTTGAGTCAGCATAGGCCCTATGCTTAGCAACGAAATGCAGCCATTGGGACAAAGCACATTTTAAAAAACAGTTAGCTCCCAAATAATGTTACGAGCAGTCCATACGGGGGTATGGGGGTCAGTACGCCAGAGGGCCCCGGGAGAGCGTGGTCGCAGGCTAGGTATTCGCTCACGGGTAGTCCCCTACGCAGCCTTTCTTTGTGTCGTCACGCAACGTTCCTCGTGACGTCCCGTGACGACGCAAAGCGTAGGAGACAAGCCTACGGGGCATTCTACTACTCTTGTGACAATATAATGGTGGGAGTGGACAGGACCCTTAACAAGCCTCTCACACAGACGTGCTTATGGCTTCGTCACCGGTTCGTTTTCCACGACCATGGGGAAGAAACGCGTGATAAAGTCCTAAGAACGTCTACTCTCACTTCCCCAAGCAAGATGATGCGCACGTTAGTTCAAATTTTTTACAATGAAGAAACTAACCGATTGGGACGAAATCCGGTGAGCACATGTCCTCGGTGATTTTGTACATCACCGTTGCAGAAAGATCTGTTAAAACATAACAAAAAGCACAATTCAGAAATGAATTTCTACGTACGGCTGAAGAAGATGGAGATATCAGGTCAGATGACGTCAATCGACACCTTTCACTCATATGGAAGTAACCAATAAAAGAAATTCTATATGATGGCTTAGTTTTAATTTGTTGCCAAAATCTCTGTTTCTATCGACTGTGAGTTGTCTGTTCAGATATCACCCTCTTTATCACCGTTTGCTATGTATCACAAAAGCGAGAGTGGATTACTAACAGACAAAAAGAGGGTTTCTGACACCTGAATAAATTTGACAGATGCCACTGACTTTTGGGGGGGTTGTGGTGGTGGTGGTGGGGGGGCGGGAGGAGTGTTTCTTGGTGTTGCGGAGCAACTGACTTCTGGTGATAATGTGGGTGAGGAAATTTTGTTTTGTTTTGTGTGACTGTTCACCTGGTAATTGCACCATCCCCAGTCACAAAAAAACTTTTTAACAGTTCGCCGCTAAAATTCTCTTGATGCAGTTAAATCCCTCATGTAAGAGCCGACTTGGGGTTTAAGAAACCTGCTGCCAGAAATTTGCCACTTTAATACCCAAAAAATGTAAGAACAAGAAGGATCAAGCAGTTTCTTATAAGTAAAATACAGTAAAATTATGATAACAAATTTGAGCAAGACGTTTGACTTCGAGATTGCAAATTTGTATTACAGGAAAATACTTCATTTATTTACTATATTATTAATTTTATTGTTTTTTGTTTGACAACTCTTGTTATAGAGATGATCTCATATAAAATTTTAGTTAGGTTCATCATAAAAAAATGTATATATAAGAACCAAACCCAATTATATTTCTTTTTCTAGTACTCGACAACTATATTTCCTTCATAGAAATTAGTTAGCTAATTAAAACCTACCTAGCCTACCTCTTTTGCCAGACTTTAATTAAAACTGTAGGTTCTTACACGCGCATTTCTACTGTATCTTTGTATTAGCTTTGCAGAAACCTATCTACAGTGTACTTACGAGTCTCGTAATAGTCATAGACGGTGACCGAGGCTGGTTTAGTTTTTGCCACCAGGGTTGACTGATAAATCTTGAACGCGAACGACACCTTGTCAATCTCATCAAAGTACAAAATCACGTGTTGGCCCTCGATTTCGTATCGTTTCATTCCAAGTTTAGCGTGGTTCATCAACTAGAAGAAAACATGTACAACCAAAGCCCGTTAACCCTTTAAGCCCTAAGAGTGATCAGCATCAAATTTCTCCTTGTAATCTAATTACTTTGTAAAACAGAGTGGTCATGAGAATTAAGGACATGATCACACAAGATGAATTTGCTAAATATTTTATCAACTTCTCCCCACTACTTTGGTGGAAATGAATAGAAGCAACAAATGAGAATTCAAATTTTGATCTTAGGGTTTGAAGGGTTAATACGGACACTGAAGGGGCCATAGAAAGTGTCCGTATTAACAGGATTGTCACACAAACTTACAATTTCAACGCGCCAACATTAAACAACCTCCGCTTCTCAAAAAATCACATCGAAAATGCGTTATTCTATGACCGCGGGCACTAAAAACTACTTTACATCACACATTTCTTCATACCGAGTTGCAATGTTTGGCCCCTGACAATCCCGTGGGTATAACATAGTTCTCCGATTACTGGAATATTATTCACTGAACACTTACCCTATCCAAGCTCTCTTCGTCCACTTGATACCCTGACACGAGTTTAACGTCAATAACCGCCATGTTAGATGAGTCTTCCTTCAGCCACCTAAATTAGCAGACACCAAACCAAATAAAAAACTTGGAAGGTTTCTTGATAAGATTTGTCGTGGTAATCCGAGCAACAAACAACAACAACAACAACAACAACAATGTATTTATTTACAGAACTATAAAATTTACAATACTTTATGCCCCGCAAATAGATATAATGCTAATCTAGGCAGGACCAAACTTTAAATAAAGGCGATATTAAATTACATAAGAAAAAAGGAAAAGAAAAGAAATACAATAACATACAGAAAGAGACACCTTACATATAAATTCAAGTACAGGGATGTTGTTTTTTGAAAATAGACTAAAATTACAACTGGAGGTATATACAACAGACAGACAGATTTAGAAGTTACGATGGTAAATAGCGCAAAACTGATTCACTTTGACAATTTTTTTCAGTACAAGAATATGAACAGATAAAAACTCTGCAAAATGTTTCAACTGGCCATTTCAGAATTTCAAAAAACCATCACTTTCAAAACGAGGTTAAGTGAAAAACCTTTCTTGTGATAACGAGCTTCATTTGCATGAGAATAAAAAATGCACGTAGCCTCGTTTTGAAATAGAGCCCTGGGAAACTCGGAAACGGTCTATCGACGTTTGCCATTTGCGGAAACCGTGAATCTATCTCTCTAATGAACAAAAAGCAAAAAACTGAAAATGTAAACAAAATGGATCTTACTTGGCTGAGATGGACATTTCCAAAGGCATACACAGAAACTCTCCCGTCTCTGTTGCAAGAGGATCCACTAGATCTTCAGAAAGTTTGAGTTTTACTTTCAAGTCGAACGCGGGTTCTTCTTTAACGTCTGGAATATTGTACGACACATCCGCCTGGACAGAAAGCGAAGTAAGCACATTTTATTTTAAGCCCAAAAATAATCTAGCCAATATCGTAGTTTTCTGCCTGCTTTTTTGCGGAACTCGTTATTTGCTTTGATTCAAGTTTAACAGATGTATTAAGCAGTCGCTTGTCAATTCGCCGAAAGAAAAGGGTTCCCTCAATAACGTATCACGTGACCTCTACCGAGTGGTCGCCGTCACACATTAAAAATGGCTGCAAAACACGTCAGCCAACTTAACCATAACCTTTCAAGCTATTTCCCGCGGGTTTTATCTACAGTCCACAACATCATCAGAGAAACGGGAAAAGTAAAAAGGAAGTGAACGAGGACAAAGAAAAATTAAAGGAATGGAGCAAAAAACCTGCATTAGAGCACAGCCCTCTCCCTGCACTTGTAATGGTAGTTTCTTGATGGGTAGAATGCTTGAAGGAACCTGAGAAATGGATAATTAGATCGACATGTTACCACACTTGTACACATTTGAACATTGATCTTGGGGAACTGGTAATCCGGGACGTATTTCTAACAATAATGGTGAATGAGCAAGGCGGGCTGAGTACCCACGGCCATCGCTGTAGGCGTCTTAGGACTGATGGGAAAAAGCAAGGTCACGTAGTCTCTCAAGGGGCAAGCAGATGCTAAAAGCTGTCAATACAAGAAATCGCGGTGACATTTCTTTCTTCTAGAAAACGGAATTTGAAGAGCTTTTAATGTTAAACACGATAATGACAAATTGTGTGTGGATGTGATCACTGTTAACACCTGTGAACACAAACATGCTGATGTCTTAATCAACCGCAGTTAAGGGAAAATTAGCACCATCCTATATAGCCTACCTCAGCTCTCTGTGACACCATTCTGTTGTCCTCAGTGATGTTAAACTCGGCACTGAACTTCTGGTCACTTTGCTCTCCAAACCGAACAGAAAGTGATGTAGTGTTAGAATACACGTCTTTGGCATACTTGCTCAGGGCTTGCAATGCAACACATGTGTCCTATAACGATAAATGACGTGAACAACCTCATCATTTAACTTGGCAACTCCATCGCATACCGTATGTTTATACCAAACCATGAACAAAGGAATCAAAGCGTCCTTCAAACAGAGTACGGGCTCTGTGTACTCTACTAACCTGTGTGGACGCAAGTCCTCCCAGAGCATTCCTTTGTTTAGTCAGCCACCTGACGATGGGCATGGCTTGACCAATCAACGACGAATCTTCCTTAGCCCGTAAGATGTACGTCATCAAAGCGTAAGCAGTCAACTCGATATCGGCGGCTGGAGCACGATTATAAAACTGGTCACTGGGTGGGACCACTTTTTCTTTTCCCCAATACATCAGTCCATCTGTACAAATGAACAACACAACAATTACATTTTAATTCGGTTGTGACATTGACATGGCAGGGTGCGCCAAAACTGATTGTCCAGGACAGGTAGAAAAATAGTTTAGACATGTAATCCTTTGACATGACTTGTTCGGGGGACAAGTACATTTTTAATTAGAAAAAATACAGAAACAGTCGAAAATTTACCACTTCAAATTACAGTAGAGTTACTTCTGTTGAGACGTATGTAACTCATTCCCCGGCTCAAATTCGAGTTGATAATGACAGAATCACAAAAAGCCCAAAAACTAAGGTCTTCGAGGTTAGGTTTTCTTTTTCTCAAAGAATTAAGTGAATCAAGAGAAGATAATTAAATTCCCGATTGATTTTGAGTATCGAGTTTCGAGCAAAACTTTTCGGACAAGAACTCTTGGCTTTTGGACAACCAAATTTAATATAGTGCTTGTCCTTCGGACAAGTGGATGAGAAAATGTTTCTTTTACTTTACTTTAGCAAAGTAGAAGGCTGTTGACTTATATACCAAGCAAAAGCTGGATCATTTTTGTTGTTTCAATTTATTTTTAACTTCTTAGTTCAGTAAAATAGAAAAACACCAAAAATGTAATACTTCAAAGTGATGGATCAAGGACAGTTGGGAATGGAAGTGATTGATATGGATTTACACCACTAGCCCGCGAAAACAGCCGTCTGATTCTCTCTCCTAACCACTAGGGACGTTTCGGCAGTAGGTACGTCTGCGCCTTAGCGACAGAAATTCCATACTGATGTGTCTGTTTGTTTTTATGTTTCTCCTTGCCCATTATAGTCAATTTTTGTGTAACTCAAATGCGTCTTGTAAAGAAGAATATAATCTACGAATATTGACTTTTTTGTAGTAAATTCATTGCATTTGCATTTGACGTTTGTCTTTTGTCTGTCTTTCGTAAACAATAGCACAGGGTCCAGAGGAGTTTCGTGAGAATAAATGAATTACTTATTTAAAGTCTCACCTTGAAAAATGTCTATAGCTGTCGCTTAGCACGATTAATTAGCCCAATGGGACCTTAATGAATCTACTGTAAACGATTTCTTCTCTTCTTATCTGACCCAGATCGACTTTGTTGTTCGCTATTTTGAAAATCAATAACCGCAAGCCATATCCTCGCTGGCGCACGCAACGTCGCCCGAAGGGTGACCGAAGGCCGTCGCCCGAAGCGCGACCGAGGCACGAAGTGCCGAGTAAAAGCCGATCTTGCGAGCCCTCAGTCTCTTGGTTTGCGGTCTATAGAATGTGTAACGAAACCGTAACGCGATCAAAATAACCCATTTTTCACAGGTTTTCGACGGGTTTTGATGTTCTAACGACAAACATATCCCCTCTGGACCCTGTGACAATAGCTAAAACAATATAACTACAGCGTCGACCAATCAGAGCTCCTGACCAGATCCCAGACGCGTAAATGACTCTAGCGGCGTCACTAGTGGCGAGGAGCAAGGAGAGACGGCTGTTTTCGCAGGTTAACACGCTACAAGTTCGAACAATTTAAGCTTAATTTTCCAAGATCCAGAATCCGTGACGAAGATCGATAAAGCCTGATATGACTTGGATATGTGTCATTTATTTACACAAAAGTCAAAAGGCCATTCAATTTGCTACTCTTGGTGTGCAAAACGACAAGAAAGGTAACTTTCATTATATGGACCACACTGACCTTCAACGATGGCTTTGCTTTGAAGCGCCTTGAATAAACCGGCGGCGGTGGGATCCTTGGCCAGGGTGAAGGTGTACGCAAACAAGGCCAACGAATATAAATCAGTGAGATTGAAAGATGCATCCCGCAAGCAAATAAGTGCGCCTTGGATAACATTGCTCTGAAAAATTCAAGCGTGAAAAAAAAAATTGTTTAAGTTGACAAAGCTATAAAGCTCGCCCTTTATAGAGAGGACAAGTGCTTACGTCACGTGTCCATGATGATAGCAAAATATCTGGGTGTCAACAAACTGTGGTCCTGAAAATATGACAGTAAAAAACGAAAAAATTGACATGTATGACTTTCCTGTGCTTGACTGCTCTCAGGAACAAAATAGTAACCCATACTTTTCTTCCATCGTTTGACAGTGCAAATGGCCGTCTCTGTCAAGAAAGATTCTTGAGATCCAAAACTTTTGCTACCATGGTAACCTGACATCATACTTCTACTCTCTATTCAAGCAAGTAAAGTTAGAGTTTTCATAAGAGTCAAGTGGCCCATTAATCTGGAGCTTATCTCCGGCTTCTGTAGCATGAAGCACCTCGGGGTATTGTTACATTTCACTCTATGGGATGCTTGCCCGTTGCCGCAGGGTTACCCCTCCCCCCGCCCCCGCCAGAGGTATGTCATAAAGCCCACGCATTTGGAGATTAACCGGGGATTTCTGTAGCATGAAGCTCCTCGGGGTATTGTTACGTCCCGCTGCATAGGATGCTAGCCCATAACAGCAGCCAGAAGAAGAATGTCTCCATTGTAAACCATTCTTGTTCTTCCAAATCCCAATACAAGCAGGCGTAAAAAAAAACAATAAAAAACTCATATCTTCTTCCTTGATGGTCTTACATTTAAGGAGCTTCCCATGGGTAAAAAAATAAAAAATTTCTTATCAAACAAAATGGGAGTGTGGAACACGCGTTGGCTGTTTACAATAGGTGGAGACTTCCACTCAACACTTCCGCAGTGGCTGTACACAAAATTCTACCGCTGACTGGAGAGAGCGAATTGCGCATGAAATTAGTAATACCTCAGGAGACATCCCGGATTCCAGAAGGGACACTGTGACAAATGCTGTAAGCGTTGCTTCATCTGAAACACCACCCTGAAACAAGGAAGGGTAAGATTCGCAAGAGTTATCCAACATTTACAACACAAAATGAAAGAAAGCGGAAAATTTAAAATGGAAGAAAGCAGGAAATTTAGGAATAACACCAACCTTGAGACGCTTGTTAAAACGTCTTCCAGATTTTTTGAAGCACCCCCCTTGTGGGTTTTGATACTTCGTGATCCAGTCTTGGGTGTGTTTAAGTTCGTCTCGATCAACAAAGATAAATTGACGCGCTTGAGCGAATGAGCGTAGCACAAAGGCTGTTAACCTATGAGGAAAGAAAGACACCATCAATATTCTGGCACAGACAAAAAAGGGTGATCGAATGGCTATTTCACAAAACTGAACGATTTCTCGCGCGCTGATTGGTCGAAAATAAGCGATGAGAGCACAGACCATGAGTGAAAAAGATGATGGTGGCACGGCGTGCAGTTTCTCTTTCTCGCGTGCGCGATTTACCGAGAAACTTCAATGAAAAAGTTATTGTAAAAAACAAGTCGATACCAATTTCCATAGTCTTTACTATTATTGACCACAGAAAAGGCATCAAAATGTTTAAAACTTTGCAGTGAAACCACTTGAGTGTGATGAACATTTTGAAGTCATTTCTATGGTCGATA